AACTCTGTGGTGCAGAATTCACCTTAAATTGTGCAGAGCATCATTTACCTGCCCTAAGTGAGATCCTCCTCTCTCTGCTCGCAGTTCCTTCTCTTGTGCATGACACAAACTTTGGGTGATTTTAAAAAGCAAAACCAAAACAAGGTCTAGTCCTACAGTCTCTTTTATTTTATATATATATGTGTATGTGTGTGTGTGTGTGTGTGTGTGTGTATCTATAGAGATATATATATACCTCTGTGTGTGTGTGTGTACATCTCCAGGTCAGCTCCATGCTTCAGGCTAAACAAGACAGCATAGAGAAAAATTCTACACTGATAAAAAAGACCTTTTCTTGTTGTTTGAGATCTACAAAACCCCCAAAAGTTACTTTAAGAGTCTTCAGTTTGAAGCACAAGGAGAGCAACAAGGGAACAGCTGATGCCCAAATGCTGGTTTCCCCCTCCCCATCCATGCAGATGCTTATTCCCTTTTCATCCTGGGATAAACCATCTCCAATTACTGAAGGCCAATGTGTTATTCAAGGATAAATGTGTGCAGGCTCTTGTCCCACAATAAAAGGATGGCAATTCGAGTGGCTTAGGCTGATTCTCATTATATGAATGGTTTTAAAAGCTGTATTTTATCTTGATGGGAGATACGGCTTTAGTTCCTATCAAGGGAAAAGGGAGAAGCCCTTCTCCTTCATTTCCACCTCCCAACAGCCACGTCACTGGAACAGAGGGAAGAGAAGACACTGGCAATGGATTTCACCAACGCTTATTTAAAGCAACAGGAAATGCTCCCAAAAAGTACAAGAAAAATGTGAAGTCTCATTTTCATTACTCAAAACACACCCAAATTTGAATTCTCCTTTTGTAATCTGTTTGCTTCCTCTGAAGCTTTCCTGAAAATGGATTAACATTAATACAAAATATATCTTTATCCTTTTGAGATTTATAAAATGGTCCACTCTAGAAAAAAAAAAGAGGTTACTTACTGATAAAAATTAACCTGGAGTATTTTTACCCAGCAATCTTGTGTACTTCATGTTTAAGGTTTTGGGGGCAGATTAGCGTTCGCTTCGGTTCAGATTTGGGTGCACAATGCAATGGGACACAACTGAAAGCTGGCACAGAAAACCTTTGCAGCGAGCATCTGCCAAGTGTGCAGACAACCATAAATCTGGCATTTCCTCACTTGTAACACTTTAACCTCCCAATTTAAACAACAGCACTGGGTGGGATCCAATGTGCCCAATTTGGCTGAAATTGCAAGCAGTTGCACCCGAAGGAATAATAACACAGTCAAGGCAGAAACAGCACCTAAATGCAAATAAAAAAAGAGAAGACCCCTCTGAAGTGCTGTCATCCACTACTTTAACCTTCCAAACAGACAAGGAAAAAAGACACAATTCTAGCACTCGTCTGCTGATCAGAGCTCTCCACTGCAATGTAAAATCAATGTTGGCCAAGAAGGCCAACAGCATCCTGGCTTGTATCAGCAATAGTGTGGCCAGCAGGAGCAGGGAAGTGATTGTGCCCCTGTACTTGGCACTGGTGAGGCTGCACCTCGAATCCTGTGTTCAGTTTTGGGCCCCTCACTACAAGAAGGACATTGAGGGGCTGGAGCGTGTCCAGAGAAGGGCAACAAAGCTGGTGAAGGGTCTGGAGCACAAGAATGATGAGGAGTGGCTGAGGGAGCTGGGGTTGTTTAGTCTGGAAGAAAGGAGACTGAGGAGAGACCTTAACATCCTCTACAACTGCCTGAAAGGAGGGGGTAGAGAGGTGGGGGTTGGTCTCTTCTTCCATGTAAGAAAGGACAAGAGGAAATGGCCTCAAGTTGCACCAGGGAAGGTTTAGATTGGATATTGGGAAAAATGCCTTTACTACAAGAGTGGTCAAGCACTGGAAGGGGCTGCCCAGGGAGGTGGTGGAGTCCCCATCCCTGGAGGTGTTCAAGAAGCGCCTGGATGTGGCACTTCAGGACATGGTTTAGTGGGCATGGTGGGGTTGGGTTGACAGTTGGACCTGATGATCTTGGAGGTCTCTTCCAACCTTAATGATTCTATCTCAAGGCTCAAAGCTGAAGCACAGCCTGAAACACCAATGCTTCAATGAATCACCTGGCATCAACATCAGTACGACAAATGCTGACGTTACAAACATGGTCCCCCCCCTCACACCCACTGATTTTAATCCCTTGCTGTACAGATTGCAAACCAAGGGCGCTCATGCAAAGTCTGGTTAAGTGCTCTGCTTTTGTACTTCAATTACAGCAGCTCACGCCCACTGCAGATGGCAGAACGACCTCGGCCGATGATGACAAACGGCCGCACGTCAACCCACAAACACTTCTGGTCACAGCTTCTTGACTTGGTCAAGGCTCTTGGAAATAAAGAGTACCCAAAACAAAGAAAAGGTCACCGGATCCTTAAAACAGTCAAAATTAAGGAGGAGGAAAAAACCAACCAACCAAAGAGTTCACATATTAAGCCAAAGCTGGGAAGACTTAAGTGCTTGCACCGATTTATACAGGGCAACGCACCCATGGCAGTGAAAGGGAGCAGCCATGCGTGTGAAGCTCAAAGTGTGCCAGTTTTCAGTTTAACAGCCTGGTAATTGCAGTTTGGGTTCACTGTACGAATAAACTGTGTCTGTGGATGGCGATTAAAGTAACATCCTGTTATCTTCACCAATGCTCTGTGCTCTTCTGGAAGATGAAGATCATTTGAGGGTTCAGGCTCTTACGCAAACTTTCAGCTGCTTTTTTCACGATACCGCTGCTCTGCAACTCAAATTCAGGAAAATAATGACATTTTCTGAAATCCATGGACAATTCACAGGTGACAGAGGTCACCACATTTCTTTTCCTTCCCTATGAACTTTTTAATTTGACGTCGTACATTTTTAATCAGTCAGACAACATGTGTTTCGGGGTTATGGAGTTCGTAATAGGTTCCTAAGAAAGATTTCGTTACAGGCAGCATCTGGTCCTCAAAAAAGAATTCTTTTTATGTATAACCCACAAGACAATGCAGCATTTGACTTTTACATCTACAAAAGCCAATCTGATTAAAGAAGCGTCATTCTGTTGGGTTTTTTTAGTTCTGTAACTGGGTGCGACATTCATTATTTCTAACACAGACACGTCTGTGCAGAAAGCTCAAGATATTCATGTGTATTTATGTACATATCTATCTATGTATCGAGATATAGATGTATAATTATGTATATTCTGTTGTCCTGCCCTATATACAACTCGATATGCTTGGTTAGCAAAAGAGGATGTTAAAATGCAGTGGGAACAACAATATGAGAGGAACAGAATGTGAAAAATCACCTTTCTTTGCTTTTCCACATCCCCAGCTGTTTTCGGTCTGGTTTAGGTGTGTTTTAGGTGCATTTTATGATGCAGCATTGCTGCTCAAATTCTTTTCCTGTCTTCTTTTCATAAGTCACCGGGGTTGCCTTAACACTTCGCCAGATAAAAATAATTGTCCTAATTCATTTACGAGGCCGAGTGAGACTTACAGCCTGTATTTCTTCCTCATGATTTCCCCAAATGTAAAACAGTGTTTCTCGGAAAATGCTGAAAAATATTCCTCTGGCATTTTACATCACTTGCTTAAAATAAATAGTCCCCTAAGGGCACAAATGAGAGGACCCTGCAGGCTTCCCAGCTCTTGGAAAGGTAAATAATGGAGTTTAGGAAATTATTTTGGAGCTCATCACCCACTTCTGCACCACAAGAAACACAAATCTCCTGTGTTTAAAACCGACTTGAAAAAAGCCACTTGCCACTTAAGTAAAAAGGAAGAGGATTCTGTTGTTTCCAGAAGAAACCCTGGCAGCACTAAAAAGTCACCAAAATCCAGACACTTTTAGGCCATAAGAATGTGTGTGTGTACAACAACAGACACAAGACATTTAAGAAATGAGCCAGAGAGCGTTCTTCTACATTCTGCTTTCTGTTGAAGTACTGGACAGAGGGGAGGATTATGTTTTCCTCTTTTTAGAAACTTAACATTTAATCAGAATTACTGGTTCCTGGCTCCTCATCACAGACGTGTCTGTTCACAAGGGCAGCAGAGTGCCACGCTCTGGATCAGCTCCCGTTATATCCTAACAGATAGGATGATGCTCATGAATTATGGTACAGCCCAAGCAACCAACCTGAGATCAGGATACTCTTAAATGTGACAGAGAAACATTTGACTTCTTTAAATAATCTAGATTAAAACTGATCCGCCATATAGGAGTGTAAAATATTGCTTAAACCTATGACATAAACACATACCTGGTTCATCAACTTGTCACCACTGGTAACACAAACTGTTAAGCACCAACAATATATTTCAGTGTATGAACATCACGTGCCATCCAGACACTGGAAAACCCACCTAACAAGTACCAAATAACTCATTTTAGGTTTGAAATTTCAGGTGTGCATGGAGTCTTAGGGGATAATTTAACCATCCCAGTCCAAACTCCTCTACACGATACTCCGTATCTTTTTTCTGTTGTTTTACTTTGAGCTTGCCAGTCTAAAAGCGGATTAAAACTATTTATATTAAGAAAATGAAAATTTAGGTGCCTAACTGATAGCAACTTTTACTATTATGCAGCTTTACTGATCAACAAGAGATACTCAAATCAAGAAAATAACCTTAATAATATGAGGGGAAAAATCATGCCATGGTTGTAGTGAAACCGCACACTTGCACTTGCAAAAATACAGAAATTCAGCAATTCAATAAAGCGTGAAATACCTGTAAGAAGCCAGCTGAACAACAGTAAATTTGATCTGAGTTAAGAAGATAACTGCAGAATTACCTTGCCTTTGGAAAACATTCCCCATCATATCCCAACAAGAAAGATGCCATGGGCTTCATGCCCTGTCTGCTTTACACATGCAACCTTTAATGTTCCCACTTTCTGTTTCCACAGTATCCACATAAACCAAACCAGAATTTTCCAAATTGATACCAGCAAAAGAAAAAGTAGAAGAACTCAACTTACCTGCTGATAGAAAAAATTTAGAGTGGGTTTGTCCTCGGTGAACTGGTTTAGAAATCCTTTTGGCAAGTATCGAATTCTCAATTCATATCTGAAACGCAAGAAAAAGTGAATTGAACTTGTCAGACAAAAATAAGAACTGTGATTTCCTCACAAATAAAAGACGTCTTCAAACATTCTTAAAAATACGGGTAAAATTGAAACAAACTCAGAAAACTCAGGGAAAATGAACCGGTTTGCAATGTGATAGTCCTATTTTTCAAGTACACAGTACACCACAGAGCGAGCGAGATTCAGAATTAGCCTTGAGTCATGACCTCTGCTAAATTTGTATCCCTTCTCAAGCCCTAAACTACTGCTTCCAAACCCTAAATTTAGCGTTATTGCTTGTCCTGTGGTTACAGCCCACGATGTTTGACACACACTGCACGCTTCCTCTAACGCATGCCTGCAATGAAATTCTGGTAATAAACGTCCTCATCCCTTTGGGTGTGCCAATACAGCTCACCCTAAATATAAACCTCTTTACAGCCCTTTGTCAAAATAAGTTTATTTAACAATCTGCTGAGGTGAGACATTGGCCCAGGTTGCCCAGGGAAGCTGTGGATGTCCCCTCCCTGGCAGTGTTCAAGGCCAGGTTGGACGGGACTTGGAGCAGCCTGGGCTGGTGGAGGTGCCCCTGCCCATGGCAGGGGTTGGACTGGGGGAGCTTTAAGGTCCCTTCCAACCCAAACCATTCGGTGATACAACAGACTGGTATAAACAAAATAAAAATTCAAAGTCACAGTTAAGATAAATTCCCCTGCTTCTGCCATATCCATTAAATCTACCACTGAACACCACTGCAGAAACGGATATGGAATAAAATAAATCTATGTAAAAATGACTTGTTTGCATTGGCTCTATAACACGGTACATTTCAGCTGTCTTGCTATATTTTAAGATTAAAACCAACACTGGTCTCTGAAAACTGCCTTTATCGATTTCTCATCATTTTCCAGGTGCATTTTCTCCAGCTCTTCTCATCCTTTATCTGTTTCTATTCAAATTCCTCTCCCTGGCAGCAGGTTTCCACATCACCTTCCTCACTGCATGAAACAGTGAGTAGGAAAAATAAGGAGTATTCAACAGTGAAAATCCAACCTTTGAGCAAAGAAAACTTGACTGACCCTACACTTGAAGGTGACTGGGTTATCCACACTGCAGCACCTCCCACTTAATTGAAACGCTTTCATCATTTCCCATTGGAGCTCCGCTCTGTCAGAGCACTGCATGTTAATACCAAATTAATACAAAATCTGGTACCTATTCTGTAATTGCTCCGATAAATCTTTGTGAGGGGCAGGCAAATGCATAGCAACGGTTGATGTGCAGCTCGAGGGTATTACCACTGCACATGAGAATTCAGAAATCAGTGAAGTCAGCTAAGGACAATTCAGGATCCTGCAAACTAACTCTGGCCACATTTTCTCAAGCACAAAGCTACGGCTTTACCTGAACTGATTTCTATGTGCTTGGTTTGTGTACGAGGCAGAATAAGAGCACACGGCACATCTGGGTGGGCAATGAATGGACATAGGGTTTTCCATTATTTCAAAGAGAAGAAGAAGAAGTTAATCAGTGTACCTGCCCTAAGGAGCTGTATTGGATGCCCAGGTGTCAGCAGGGGGGCTGCAGTGAGGCCTCTGTGGGGAGAGGCCAGGGCTGCCCCTTGTCGGACACAGCCGCTCCCAGCCGGCTCCACCACAAGACACAGCTGAGCCCCTCCGCCAAGCTGGGGGCACTGGCCAGGGGGAAAACAGGTTTCAGAAAGGGCAAAAGGCAGCACAGGCAGAGGAGGAGGAAGCCAAGGAAGGAGCAGCAGCAGAGGGACCCCGAGGCCGCAGCAGGAGGAGGGCAGGAGGTGCTGCAGGCCAGGAACAGGGATCCCCTGCAGCCCTGGGAGACCCCGCTGGAGCAGAGACCCACCCTGCAGCCCGGGGAGGGCCCCACGCCACAGCAGGGGATATTTCCTGCAGGAGCTGTGGCTGTGGAGAGCCCAGGCGGGAGCAGGTTGTCCCTGAAGGACTGCAGCCTGGGAAGGGCCCGCGCTGGAGCAGGGAGGCGTGTGAGGAGGGAGAAGTGGCCGAGAGGGGCTGTGATGGACTGAGCGCAGCCCTCATCCACACCTCGGTGTGGGGGAAGAGGAGTCGGGAGGGAAGGGGTGGAGGTGGGACTGGGGGAAAGAGAGTGAAAAAACCATCCTTCTTTCTCACTATCAGAATTTATTTTAATCGGCAATAAATTAATTTTCCTAAATTTGAGCCCGTTTTGCCTGTGACCACGCCTGCTAAGCGCGCAGTCTTCACTCTTGACACACAAGTTTTCTCATCCTATTTTCTCCCTCTGTTCTGTTGAGGACAGGGAATGAGAGGGGCTGGGAGGGGGCAGCCAGCCAAGGTCAACCCACCTCAGGGGTATCAAGTGCCTGTCCAAGGAGATCTTTTAAATCTTGGAAGGGAAGTGTTATGATTCAATGCATTCGTTTCAGACACCTTATCTGATAACAGATTCTGAAGATGGGGCTGAATTTTCACACAATACAGATGAAAAGAATCCTTTATGTGGTCTCCCAATGTACTAAGAACAAATGTTGACTGGCAGTCACTCCACACCACCTCTTTTCCTATTTTTCAGTCATCCCACAAGCCAAAAATCAGAGACCATTCAGGCCTGAAGACATGCATATGGAACTCATCTCGGACCTTCAGCAGAGTACATATTGCCTCAGTCACCCTGATCTAGACCAGGATGTGGAACACCTTTACTCTGGGATCAAAAACATACATTTATATATACAAAAAGCAATCCTTCTCCTTTACAGGGACTTGACTGAGGAGCCATGAGAAGTTCTGCTTTTTCCAACAGGATCTCCTAAGAAAATCAGGTAAGGCAGAGCATTTTGGCTGGGACAGTCACTGAGAGTGACCTTCATTACCTATCTATAACCCAATCTCTGACTACACCTATGGGAATGAAGAAGCTGACTTCCAAAGGCCAACTCAAGGTTGGGCTTGATTTTCAATATCCTATAAATGTACTGTCTTGGAAATGCAGCCAACCGATGAAGATGACAGGTCCCTTTCCCACAAACCAGGTCTGCTTTCTGAGCAAGGATCCCATTTTTGGTGGAGCCAAAAAGGAAAGGATGATCCAACTCTTAATATTTCATGACACCAAAAGAAAGAAACTCTCCAGTCTCAACCTCATAGGTTGCTTCCAGCAGGTTCAGATTCAGTTCACATCAGTGGAAAAGTAACCAAAAAGGAGAAGATGGGAGCAAAAAGGGCAGACAAAGGAGGAGCCTTGTGTGGGTTTAATGATCTGAATAGGCTTGCTGAAGGATTAGACAAGCATTAAGGCTCGCAGAAGAAAAGGGAAAGGACTGGATAACTGCAAGCAAGAGAGGGGAGAAGACAGAGTGTGGAGAGGAGAGGTGCAGGGCTGTTAGATCCACTTAGTCAGCTCATTAAATCATCCCGCAGGTGGTCTGGCCGTGGGGTCAGTGCCAAGGCGTTTGTACTGCAGCTGTCAAAGTTACAGTACAGGACTGCCAAGCACTGGGGCGTCCTGTGGGGCAACTTCTACCTGTTGGAGCCTGAGCATCAACATCGCCTGGTTACCAGGACCTGCTTTAGCTACAAACCTTAGGTACGGAAATGGATTACGTCTACCCTGAGGGGAACAACTTGTTACTCAAATGACCAGGGTTGATGCTATGGTTTCAGTCCCACATCCTGCTAACCCTTGTTCACCCAGCTCAGGGTAAAGACAAAGGCTAAGTGAGGAAGGCTTTCATCTTGGAAACATCCAGTTACTGAGATAATAATAATAACAATGATTAATTTCTCCACTGAAAAGTGAGTTCAACGCATGCCCAGGTCTGCCTTGCTCACATAAACACTAAGAAGAAACATGAAGCAAACAAATTCACTCATTATTTGTCTTCCCCTAAAAAAACCTTGGGATTTTGGTTGTATTTCACTTCTCATCTGGGATCATCTCAAACACACAGGTATCCAGGCCTTTATACAAGCAAATACTTAAGGAAGAGTTAACAATTTATGCTACTGTAAGATAACCCTAACAGCAGCAGTGTCACTGGAAATCCGAAATGAAGAAAATTGCCAGACCGCATTTGGAAGACTGCAGCTAATTTAAAGCAATTGCATGGATTACACTCCAATGATCCACTGCTTCTGTAGCACTAAACCTCGCGTATCTCAAACAAATAAGGCAGTATTACCCAACATGACATAAAACATAACGGACTCCAAAACACTCATTTCCAAATAAACTGCTACAAACAAGCACGCGAGCAGTTCCAATAATTACAACTCTGATCGGTTTTGGCACCAAGACTTAAATGCATTTGCAATTTTCCGGTGCTGGATGGAATTATCTTCATTGCAAGAGAATAAAACAAAACGGGAAAAGGGTGTTTAGTTTGATACACTTAACTAACACAAACACCCCTACAGCAAAGAAACAGTGTAGGTGCGGGCACGTTTAATAAAAAGCTTTTGTCTGAATTTTAGGGCCAATCGTTCTTCTTTGTAGGAAAACCTGAAGTGTTAGGACTCGAATGACTTTTTTTAAAAGCTACAAGACAATTCAAGCCTTTCCTATACTGTGCAAAATCCAAACCCTTTTTTAGCAAGAAGTTTACAATAGCGTAAAAAAGCAAACATGAAGGTGGGGGGGGAAAAAGACTTCCAGTAAGCAACGATTATTAAAATTTAAACAACCCACACAAGAGGCAATTACTTGTTTATTAACACTATAGGAAGCTTTTAATTGAAGAACCATTCCAAGACTTCTCTCCTTTACTAATCTAAATATTTTTACAAGTACTGTCATAGGATCCTAAACACTCCGTGCTGTGGTATTACAAATATGACAGCAGCGTTTTGATCACGCACAGCAAATCTGCCCGGGTTTAAAAGGTACGTCAGGCTGCATACACTCGATTAAACATTAAATGGCACTCTGGAAAGGTATTGAATAATTTACACCTTATCACAGCTCTTTCCTGAGTATTTGATACAATTCCTGTCCACAAACTTCAAAACAATCACCTAACTTTGCTTTTAAAACTGATTTAGCTTTGTTCTGCGAGATGCATAATGCCAGCTGTGCTGTCTAATGAAACGGGGACTGACACTTGTACACCATGTAACAAATTTCCATTGCATGAGTTTTACACATCTTACACGCAGCCACGCAATGGCTTCAGGAATCCCCTATTTCCTAAGCTGGGATTGCACAGTTATCATCAATGAAAAAATTATTGTGAGAAAATACTGATGCACATCCCAGAAACAACAAAATGTAACGTGCTGAGAAGAGAACGTGCAGCATCTCTGAAACCTCAGTTTTAACCATTTCTAATTGGTAGCATTTGTTAAAATCAGGCCCCTAAAGAAAATTTATGAACTAAAGACTGCAGACTGCGACAGCTGTATGTGTGTATATGTGTCCAACAACTCCATTTGCAAGAAATTAAGTATAGAATATCTACAATAATTTTGCAGAAGATATTTGTGGCCTTGAATACAACCAGCAACCTCTGCACAAATGGTGGTTATGAACAGAAACCACAGAAAAACCTGCCCAAAACTCCTGCAATGACCCAGTAACCACAGTAATCCGAGTTAGCCCTATACTTGGTTTAATGGTATTTTACAACTCTGAGCTCCCCGTCTTCTCTAGGAGACCATCGTGTCTTTCTACAAACAAAATCTTCTCAAGAAGATCTCAGTTAGAAGGAAGGCAGTGGTAACTCATTGCTCTGGGTCTCAATTCATGGCCCAATAAATAGTTTTCCAATGGAAAAGTTTTATAACTGCAGTGGGATAAACTGATCTATTCACTGCATTGCACTCT